TTTACTAGAGATTATTTTTTACTTTGACTTGTAATATATAGTAACTTAAAGACACATATTGACAACTTTACTCCTTTACTCCTCCATAATCCTGCTTTTTAACATAATTAATATAACTATCTTATTTCAATCAAAAAAATTATGAAAATAAGTTGTATCTTATTTTTCTCTCAGAAAATCAAAGATGAAATAAATTATTATATAATATTATTGCTTATTCTTATGCATATGTAACAATTTTTTTTTTCATTTCCTTTTCTTGCTTGAAATGTATTTAGAAGTTTTCATTTTATTTTTTATTACTTTGTGAATATAATAATGTAGATTATTTTTTTTATATGTCTTATCTACATAATTATAAAAAAAATATATGCCTATATATTATTTAATTGTGACCTTTGATGAGATTGTAATACTACATATCTTTTATGCAATCAAATTATTTATTTTCTTATTTTTGTGATTTTCAACCCTTATATTTGTAACAATTCAAAAAATGGATATGCTAAGTGATACTTAATGTGTCAAGAATGCCTATGATTAGATCAGGGTTCACACAGATTGATGCGCATAGAACCAGACTTCAGAAGCTTTGCTACATCCAAGCCAACTAAGTTGGAGAGTTAGTTGATCTAGTAAAGGTTGGGTCCAACCATGTAGGGCTCTCGAATACGAAGATTTACTCGAAGGAGTCTTTACCGGACTTAAAAAGAGGAAATCTTAGGTTTCGAGGGTCTAGGCGTAAAATTGTCTTTTTCCAGGCTAAGGGTAATATCGTAATTACCCTAAATATATAATTAATTATTTAATTAATAAGGTGGAGAGACAATTTAGGGAGAGAGCCGAAATTGAGCTCTTGAAGTGAGTTCTTGCTTCACCCGGGTTCGAACCTAGGTGGAGACAATGAATTAATGTGATTTTTATTTAAGCTATTGAATAAGTATAATTAATTAATAATTATTATTCATTAGCTGATTTAAAATAAAATAAAAATTAGATTTTTTAATAATTAAGTAAACCTTATTTCTTTAAGTCCTAAACTAGACTTTTAAGCCTAATATAACTCCTACTCTCTCACGTCTATCTCTCAACTCTCACGCTCAATCTCTCTTGTTATTTCACACAAAATTCTCTGCCAAAATAAGCTGCAAAAAATAGAAAATAAACATATTAGAAAACAATCAAAATTTCTCTACACTCAAAGAACTTACAAAAAAATATACAAGCAAGCAAGCTAACTTAAGAAACGAAAACTTTGCATCATCTTCTCGACGGGTTTGTGTTGAAGGTTTAAAGGAGGTTTTGGGCAGCACTTGGAAGGTGTGAAAAGCTACAACAAGGTATGGGTTTTCTCTCTTGGAATCCTTTCTCCAAGAGAAATTTCTTCCTACAAAAATTCAAACGTATAAAACTAGGGATGTTCCTTTGAATGTTGAACTCCTTGTCCCCTAGTCTCCTTCCGATTTCAATCTAAATTAGGTTATAAATCATGTTGTTGGTATGATTGCTGGTAGCTAAGTGTGAAATGTGATATTCTTTGTGATTTTGTGTTTGGAAATAGCAAGGATGTTCAATGATGCCAACCGAAAATGATGTGGTGCAATATGTAAATGCTTGGTGTTGTTGTTATCCGTTTTGAAGTCTTAAAATGGTTAGTTTGATGGATGAAATTAACGTATATAAAATGTGCAATTTTTTATGCTCATATGAGGTGTATGTGATTGATTTTAAGTGGAAAATTGTAGCTAAAACAATAATGAATCTACACCTAAGAATGTGTTAAATGAATCCATGAAATCTACCCCAAAAAGGTGTTAAATGATCCATGTCTTTTCCAAAGTTTTCAAATGGAAATATTGGTGAAAATAATGTAAGAAAATGACTAATTTTTTAGCAAAAATAACAAGTTTTGTTTAGGCTAAAGTATAGAGGAGAAATCATCTATTGAGCTATGATGTCCTCATAGTAGAAGTCAACTTTCATGACGTATGAGTTGAATGTAATGGAACTTTATACTGAGCACAGATAGACTAGCTATGAGCGGTGATGCCTTATTTCAGAAAGGACAGAGGTTCACATAACTCTCATGAGATGAGACTGTCCGGCATGTCGGGTATGGTGGGTCTTCTTATATCTCCTAGTTTTCGAACCTATACTGCCAATATAGGGATCTGGCGGGGTTCATATTCCATGTACGCTAGCATGTTTTGGGTCACTTTTGTCAGTGATTCCAGCTCTTTTCGGTGTGGGGTTTCATGACACTGGATTTCATGATGCTCACATGATCTATGTCGGTTAAAGTTAAAGTTCCCAATGAATGAATGAGGTCAGCCTCAAATGATACACATAATGAAATGAATGATACCAAAGATGTTAGGATAGGGTAATCAAGAGGTGAGTTAGATTCAAGTAATGACATTAGGTCATTCTTGGTCATTGCACAACGAACCCGATGAAAGTCTTAAACTACATCCTAGGTATAGCTAGTGTTTACACTGGTCCATGAATGAAATTAAATGAAGTACGTATGAGTGAATGAAACAGAATACGTGTTTGCTTAAGCGGACTCCCTCCTTGAGGTCCCATATGTTGAGCCCTCATTTTTGGGAAGTCTTAATGTCAAGTCCATGATTCCAAGGTCCCATGACATACGAATGAATGATATGAACAACGTTATGCGTTACATGAATTATGATATGTGCTATGTGAAATATGTTATGTGATGTTTGCAAAATGATAAGTTTGATGATTCATGGCATGACTTTCCAAATCCAAATTTGGCAGGTCCATTGACTTTCCTGATCCAAATTTGGTAAGTCCACTGACTTGACTTTCCATATATCATGTTGGTAGGAAAGAGCTATTCTTTCTTATGCATGTCCTTGGTGTGTGCTTGCATATACCTATACATAGTATAAGTGTGTACTAATTCCATACAAATATCTACTTTTAGGTGCAGACACAGGTGGACGTTAGATCTTACAGTACGACATTGCAGCTATCCGTACGTGGAGCTTTCATCCGGACTTGGTAGGCCCTTATGATTTCAAGGTTGTCTACTGCTATTATCTAGCTTAGATGTAGGCTTTAGCTAGTGGAGTATGTTCCACTAGTGTTTCATTTCAGACTTTGTATTGGTGCTGTTTTGACAAGTACATATTTAATGCAACTACGAACTATTTCTTTGATTTGATTATCTCTATATTAGATGGTTGATTTGTGAACGACTATAATGTTAAGTTTAAAATGTTTAACATGAAGTAAGAAGACAAAAATTTTAAATTTTTTGCTAAAATTAATCTAGATGAAGTAAGAATGACATATGTAGGCTTGTCTGCGACCTCTGAGAGGTCAACGGTCTCGTCTGGGGTCTAGACTCCGATCGTGACAATATTTTACATCATTTATTTATTTTTACATATAAAATCAATGCACAACTTTAATGTACTTAATGTCATAATAATATTTATATTAAAGTTATGATAACTCATGTTTCTTATCTTCTTTATAACTTCTACTCTTAAATATTATTATTGATAACTCCTATTTGTTTGGGAAAAAGTGTGAAATATATTTGAATTTTGATCGAAATTGCCGTTACGATACCAAACTTTGGGAATGACACGTGGACATAAATTTTTTTGCCGAATTATCAATAATAATGTCCTCCATAAAGTTTGATACGTAACAACAATTTCGGTCAAAGTTTGAGTATTTTTTTAGACCCTTTTCCCTATTTGTTTCATTGTTATAATTTTTAAAAACATTTATTTAATATGTAAACAATAAACAAATGTGAAGATAAAGATGTAACGTGGAAGTCAAAAAATATTAATATCAAAATTGATGTTATCATAAATGATCGAGTACTCAAAAGATAGATAAGATTTAAACAAAAAGTATTGTTTTCAACTTAATACATAAATTGTTGTTTCAAAATATGACCTCTAAATTGTTTGTTCTGCATATAAAGTCTATTTAGCATATTGAGAAAAAATATTTTGTTTCATATGATGACAAAAATTTACATTATCTTTTATGTCACCGGCTTGAATATAAATATTTCATACTACTTCATTATAATTAAAATTATCAATTTATAGAATTAAATTTTATAAATGATAAAATAAATTAGTTTATTAATTTTAAAATTTTATTCTTTGAATGGGGAGGGTCGGGATACGGAGTGAGGTAAACAAAAAATTATAATTTGCGGAAAATAAATTTATATGAGAAATATTTTCTAAAATATATAAGTCAACCAAACATGAGAAATAAAATAAATTAAGTAAAAAAGAAAAGTAAAGATATTTGAAGAGTAAAGTAAATGAAATAAAATGAGTAAAGTAAATAAAAAATATAAGTCAAAGGTGGTTTTCTTTTTTCGGAGGGAAACTTAAGTGGTTTTGGAGCCAAGATCCGGAAGGCTATTTTTGTCATTTAGGTAGTCGTGTAAAAAAAATATCATGCCAAATATATTTTTCGATTAAAAAAATATCCAAACAATGTTATAATAATATAATATCACGAATTCTAAAATCATTACAAAAATAAAAGATCAAAAGCTCTTTGAAACATAGTACATCATGTGACACATTCAATACTATAAAAATAGTGTTTAACAACCGATATTAGCGATGACCGATATTCCGTCACTATATAATGATAGATTTGCGACGGAACAACCATTCATTGCAAAATCAACAAATAATTTTTTGATTTATAATATTGAGACGAATTTGCAATGGAATATTTAATTTGTCGCTAAATATTAGCGCAAAATTTTGACGCTTATTTTTTCCTACGAATTTAGTAACAACTTAGCAGTGGCAAATTTAATTAATATTGGGCGACAGAATTAGAGACGAAAAAAGGCTGCTTAACATTTAAATATATTTTTATAAAATTTATATTGTATAGTGACAAAAATATCAGTCAATATAATTTATATATATATATCACTAATTCTTTTGCAGAACGTTTTAAACTGACATATTCTAGGGCACAAAATTTTCAACATTTCAAGCTCCTCTCTAAAATCTCATGCTCTCAAGCTCTAGAACTCAAATGAAGGTTGGCTCTGAAGCTTCCATATCTTCCAATCTCCATCTCGAAGACCTGAAGCTAACATTTTGAAGTCCCATCTCGAAAGGTAAGAGCTCAAACTCTCATCTCCATTTCGATTTCATTTAGCTCAAACCCAAACTAAATAGGATTATCTTTGAACTCTCTCTCTCTCTGCAAAATAAGAACCCCAACTAGGAAATTTGGTTAGATTTCTGCATTTGGATATTAGATTAACTCAAAATACCATTATTTTTCAGTATTAACTCGACACATCATTGTTTTTCAGTTGCAAAATATGAACCCTAACTCTTAACTCTTTGGTTAGAATCTTTTCACTTGACGCAACACTGAAAATAGATATTTTAGGAATTTGGGTGTTATTAAAATATGATATTTGAACTCTGAAGTCTTTCAATTTCATTTAGCTTGAAGTAAGATCGGTACTTTCTCAAAAATAGGGGTTCTAGAAATTTGAATGTTCTAAAACCGGAGGTTTTCTCGAAGTAAAGTTTTCTGAAAAGAGGTGTTATGATTCAACTAAGCCTCTTGTCACATTCAGTGAGAACCCCCTGGATGAAACTAATGTCGTCGTCCTCGAAGAGGACTTACACTATCCCTTAACATTCATCATTACATGTCATAGGTCAAAACACGGAAAATTTAAAAAACTTTGACATATACCTAGTGAGGTTTACATAGACTCTCACATGATAAATATACATACTAAATATTGAGAGTTTACATAGACTCTTCCCATAGGACACTTACTTAGGCTTCTCTTTTAGACAACATAATCAATATACCAAAGATAGTCTAATAAGACCGTCTCACATAAAACCATCTAAAACGAGTACAACTTTGGACATAGCCATTACAAATTCAATACGCCATATAGGTTTACATCAATGTCTCAAATGATAAAGGAAAGAAACATTGTCTTTAGACAATATAATTACAAAGCTAGAATATAGAAAAGGTAACATCCCCGAACATAAGGACCTACCAACACTTGGAGAAAGATGTCAAAGTCTTCTTCAATCGTCCTCCTAGAAACTCAATGGACGGAACCTACATATTTGTAGAAAAACATAAGAGATATGGGTTAATACACCACTTGTACCAAGTATGGAAACAATGAACATAAAACATTTGAAAGCATGCATGAAAGGGACCATTTCTTTAGAAAACATGCTAAGTCATTTGGAAAGCCTTTAATGCACATACAAGAGAGCATATCACAATAACATAAAACATGTTCATAACCAAAGACAACTTCAATCACAAGAATCATATCAACATATCACACAAAACCCTTACAACAATCCCATCCCAAGCCTACAAGGGCAATGCTCATGTGAAGCCCCATAACCCCACATAATCAAGTAAACAAGATAGGAGATCATAAGTAATGCTTTGCTACATAACACATATCATCATCGGTAGTCATCACCACATATAGAAATTTAGAACAATGTCATATTCATTCAATATATCCAACATCATATAAGAGTATCATCATATAAAGTCAACATTTCCTATTACATGATATCATGATACAGAAGACCATCTCTTAGGGCTCCTTTTAGAGTTAACTTGTGCAATATCTAGGTAGAGACCCATACCCCTAGCTATCCTAAGTAGACCCCTCAAGTCACTCTAATCAATGTCCATCTTCATTTACATTTAGGCATTCATTTTACTTTTGGGAAGAATTGCCTTAACCAACATAGACCAAATGAGCTAAATTTTGAATCTGGTGTCATGAAACCCTACACAGAAAGAAGGTGGTCTACTTACAAAAGTAGAACCAAACATGTACATAGAACTCTAGGTGGATCCACTACCTAGTATTCCTATGGGGGCAACATAGTTCAAGAACTAGGCTGTATAGTAGAGACCCTCTTTATGCTATTAGCATTGTGATATCTATCTCTTGAGAACATAGTGAACCTACCTTCCCACTTGGGAAGGGACACATCTCACTACTAGTTCACTCGGTTCTAAGCTAGAGTCCCTTTTTTTATAAGCCTTTTAAGTTAACCATAGTATATGGCATAGGGACTAACCCCTTGTATAGTCATGTCATTATATCATTATGTATAGAATGAGATTTATCTTTCATATACACCATCATTAGTGAAGTGATCATAATCAATTCATAATAAGGCACACAAGTGGTTCACATTCAAACTTGCATGATCATATACCTCAAGACCTCACAACCATCCTATTCATGTCAAGGCATCATAATAATCATATCATATTAGTCTCTATATAATCACATAGAATACTTCAATTGCACATCATCATCAAGTATAATCCATCATCATTGAAGTAAAGGATTAAGATCACAAAGTCCTACTATATAGCCTTCATAAACTCTCTTCAAGATCTTACCATAAATACATCATAATTATCCAGAAATACACATTAAAATCATCATAATATAATGAATTAAACAATAACATAATCAATTCCATCAACCTTAATCATCTACAAGTCCAATTCATAACTAGGGTTAGGAAAGAGGGTTCAATTTAAGAGCTTTAATGGAAACTAGGTTAAAGATTAATAACTACAACAATTAACCATTAATCAATCATAATCTATCAATAATAATTAATGTAACATCATAAGAAATCAACTTGAAAGACAAATTACGAAATTGGAAGAAAACCCATCATTGGAAGAACATATACATCATATTTTTGAAAGAGCCTCCTGGGAAAAGGGTTCCCAAGAGTTAATAGCTTCCATACCTTACGATTTCCTTGAGAATTGATGTATAAAATATTAATCTTGAAGCCCTAATGCAGTTGAAGCTTGGTCTTGTGTGGAGTCTTTGGAAAGTGAGAGAAAGTAGAGAGAAGTTGAGAAAATTGGGTTTGGGAAATATGGGGTGTTAGGTTAGTTTAATGAAGGTTAGGTTTTATATAGTCCTTCAACTAACTTAATTAACTATCCCTTAACCCTTAATTAACTAACTGACTAATTAAGTCACTTAACTTAAAAACTAGGCATTGAAACAGACCCAATCTACGAGACCCCAACTTACGGTCTGTAGGTCCATCGACGGCCCTGTACTGGCAAGGCGTTGCTTGGATCAGAGAATGTTCTTTTGGACTAGTTTGGAGAATTTTCTAAGTTTCTACCTACGAGTCATCGACGGCCCGTCATTTGGCTCGTAGATGAACATTGTCAAGTTTAAAAGTTTTGGGTCGAATGCAAGGGTCCTCTCCAAGGACCCTTAGGGTGGTCCTTAAGGAGTTTTACCCCTACGTTTCAACCCTAAATACATTCTGATACTTGTTTAACACCTTTTTACCATTTTCATTAAATTCCGACTCTTAAAACCTCATAAAACATGCCAAGACACACTAGCACACATTTCACAATTCTCCGAATGTTTTAGTCGTTTCTTGACGTTTTGACTCTAACAGGTCTTTATTAGTTCGATACATTATTATAGGCTTAGAAACTGTGTTTAAAGTCTTATTTCAATATGTGAGTCTCTAGATCAAGTCATGGACTTCCGAAGTGTTACGCCTCTGGAGTTAGTTTAAGCATTTTACATTGATTGTACACTTGTTTGTTTTAGTTTTATATTACATGTAACTTTTATAGTTGTGACTATTGACTACCGACATATTCTCTCTATAAAAGGTATCTCTCTTTTTTTCACCTCTACAATAGCTTTCTTTTCCAGTAAAATGTGTTTATATAAATCTTCTGTTTATATATTTGTTTGAGTTTATACACTATAAAGTCAAGGCTAGATGTGGTACAATGAGTTGTCGCTGAAATAAGTAACGTGAAACTTCAATATCATAGTTATATAATGAAATAAAGGATTTCTCAAAGTGTTGAAATAAGCCTCAATAATCTGTTGAAATAAGGAACTTCTCAGAAACAACATTGGATAATCTAATGTTCATGTTGAAATAAGGCTCAACTCAAGCTGACACATAATTAGTCGTAGAATTGTTTGAAGTGTCTTGTTTCTCTGCCAAATGTTTAGATGTTGACACTACTTTGTTTTCTTATGGTGCTTCAAGCGTAGAGCTGCCTGATTTACTAAACAAGTAGTTAATAATATATTCTAACACGTGCAAGCTAACTCGACTAGATGAAACTATAGTCCTCATGATGAAAGAGGCAAAATGAAGCAAAGATCTTACATTTCATCAATGTATTGCTTGATTAATATAACAAAGTGAAGTTTGTAATAGTGTCTTGTAGGCCTTTACATATTCTTAATTCATCAATTAAACTTGAGAAATAAAATTACATATTATTGTTGTTCATGTTCTTGTTAATTACCAAGACAATCTAATGTTAAAATGTTTTCGATATTTGCTACTATAGCCTCATCATCAAGATCTGGTTGATATTCGCTCGAAGTAAGCCTTGATCTTCATCTATCTCTGATTTAGCGCAAGATTTATGTTCCGAGGTATTGACTTTATTGAGTGTAACAAGGATGAAGATTGTTGTCATTATCTTGGGACTGTTTGAGTTAGAGAATTTCTTTAAGAGATTAATGAAACGTATGGAGAATTCTTATTCTTTTGTTGTTAGTGTTTTTGGCGACTAGATCTTGTTGGAGAAATGCATTTCTAAATTTTAACTTGTTCATTGGTTTTATTTGCCAGAAGAATGGATTCTAGACTTTAACTTCTTTCATTAATTTCATTTGTTGGAGGAATTTTGTACTTATAGAGAAAATTCATGTGATTGTCTTATAAATTGTCTTTTTGAAATAAAGATTCTTGTTTTTTGCTAATTTTTTGGACATAGAGGGTGCTAGAGGCTTTTAATGTTCATATTTCATATATTGTGCTTTCACTTATTATCTGTTAGTTGACTTTGAAAAATCATCTTAGTTAGTCATACCTTATAAAGGTAGAACGACTGATCTATTAAGTCGATATCTAATGTAGTAGTCTTCAATTTCTTTTCTTCATCTAGTTTTTTATTTATGAAAATTTTAGTAGCAACAAATCCTACCAATTTGGATGATGTTCAGACCATATGTAACTTTATTAGAGAAACATAAGTTTGTGAAGCACAATTAGCTCTTTCTCTTTTGATCTGTTTCACTGGTCAACATATTTGAAGACTGAATCTCTTTTGAATTACTTCTTCTTAATCTTGAAAACATTAGTTACATGTTAGTTTCTACCTTTAAGATAAAAGCCAACTATTTGTCCATTACTAAATTTTATATGTAAACCTTGTATTTGTTCCTGGTGAAGTGTAGTATTTGGCTCCAATTTCTTTTCTTTCTCTAGTTTTTAAATACAAGAAAGTGGTTTTGTACTACAAGTTGACTGTAATGCTTCAATTCCTTCTTTTATAATCAATTTTGTGAGATTAATATAGTAAATAGATAGTTTCAATTAGTCGATCGTAACTAGAATGATTAAGTATGTTGATTATTTGAATTAGAATGCTTTAATTGTTCTGTAAGTTACCTAAAATTAGAATGTTTTAGTAATTGTTTGTAAGTTTACTATAATCACTAACTGCTTTAGTAGCTCCGTAAATATTTTTTAAGTCTGCCTAGTGAATAACTTCAGAAATTGTTCTTGCTTTTGTCAATATGCATATTTTGGCAAAATTTGATGAATATGAATGAGAGTACCTTCTGGTAAATTGGTTTTTGCATGTTACTAATTGCATTGTAAATTTAAATATGAATAATCTTGAGCGTGGTTGGATGTATGAGAGGTTGGATGACCGAGGGGCTATCAATTCTAATTTCGTAACTGGAGTGGATAAATTTATCCAATTTACATGTTCGTAACAAAATCGCATGAGCGATAACAAAGTTAGATGTCCATGTAAAAAATGTCACTATTTTAAGTTCATGGATGTTGAAACTGTTAAACATCACCTTTATAAGTATGGATTTGTTAATAACTATTTTGTTTGGAAGCATTAATGGGAAAAAAGATGTGATCGATGAGTCTTCTTCTGATCAGGATTTGTATGGTGGTGCTCAACCTGAATTAGGATATGATAATTCATATTGACAAATAATTTTTGATGTAGATGGTCCTAACTTTCTCCAATTAAGGTTCGAATAGGCAATTTTTTAGAAATATTGAACCCGAGTTGTCTCATCCTTATGAACCTTCAATTGAGGAAGGTCCTAATCCCGAATCCCAAAAATTATATGATTTGCTATATGAAGTTGATGCAAATTTATATCCTAGTTCTCCCCTCTCTTAACTTGTGATTGTCTCTCGGATGTTACATATTAAAATAGAGAAATATATGTCATAGATAGGCTATAGTCAAATGATGCAATTATTGAAAGTGGCTTTACCTGAAGATAACATAGTATTTGATAGCTATTATCAGATCAAGAAGTTAGTGCATAGCTTGGGTTTGCCAATTGAAAAGATTATTTATTGTGAATCAGGATGTATGTTGTATTGGGGGTGATGATGAACACCTTACATCTTGTAAAATTTGTGGCCACGAGAGATACGGGCGTCTTGTTGGCTCTCGTAAGAGGAAATTGATCGCTTTAGTCAGTCTGTGAGTAAATACTCTTCATGACCAGTGATTGTCACACCTTATAATTTTTCTCCATAAATGTGTGAAGGGATCAATTTCCTATTATGAGAGTCAACACGAGACTTGTATCTCTCAGGGCCACAAAATTTTACAAGATGTAAAGTGTTCATTATTGCCTCTTAACAACATACATCCTGAATCACAATAATTAATCTTTTCAACTGGAAAACCCAAGCTACGCGCTAGTTTTGTTAGATAATAGTTATCAAGCACTATGTTGTCTTTGGGTAAAGACTCTTTCAACAATTTCATCATTTGATCATAGCCTCTCTATGACTTTATTGTTCTTTGTTTTAATATTTAACATTTGGGAGACAAGCACAATTGAGAGAGGGAAGAACTATGATATAATTTTGCATCAACTTCCTGTAGCTAATCATATAAATTTTGGGACTCGAGATTAAGTTCTTCCTCCATTAAGATTCACAAGGATGAGATGACTTGGGTTTAATATTTCTAAAAGATTGCCAACTCGAACCTTGGGGAAAGTTAGGACCAGCTGCATCAAAAAGTATTTGTTGGTATGAATTGTTATATCCTAATTCAGGTTGGGCACCACCATACAAATTCTGATTAGAAGAAATATCATCAATCACATGTTTTCCCCTTGATGCCTCTAAAAAAGTTATCAACAAATCCAGACTTATAAAGGTGATGTTTAACAGTTTCAACATCCATGTACTTAAAGTTGTGACAATTTTAACATGGACATCTAACTTTGTTACTGCTCATGCGATTATGTTGCAAACATATAAATTGGATAAATTTATCTACTCTAGTTACGAAATTAGAACTAATATCCCCTCGACCATCCAACCTCTCATACATCCAACCAGGCTCAAGATTAATCATGTTCCAATAATATTTAAACTTACTAAGTAATTAGTAACATGCAAAGACTAATTTAGCAAAAGGTATTCTTATCCATGTTCATAAAATTATGTCAAAATATGCATATTGACAAAGCAAGAACATATCTAAAGTTGTTCACTAGACAGAGTTAAAAAACACTTACAAGCTACTAAAGCAGTTAGTGATTATAGTAAACTTACAAAACAATTACTAAAACATTCTAATTTTAGTCAACATACGGAACAATTAAAGCATTCTAATTCAAATAATCAACATACTTAAGCATTCTAGTTGTAGTCAACTTGTTTAAACTATCTATTTACTATATTAATCTCACAAAATTGATGATTTAAAAAAAGGAATTGAATCATTACAGTCAACTTGCAGTACAAACAACACTTTCCTGTGTGTGAAAAATTAGAGGAAATTTTTTTTGAGCCAAATACTACACTTCACTAGCAACAATTAGAAGGTCATTACATGTAAAATTTACTAATGAACAAGTACTTGGATAATAAATTTTATCTTAAAGGTAGAAAATGACATATAACTAATGGTTTCAAGATTAAAAAGAAGTAATTGAAAAGAGATTCACTCTTCAGATCTGCTGAACAATGAAACAATTTACAAGAGAAAGAATTAATTCTCCTTCACAAACTTATCTTTTCTGATTTGAGTTCAGTACAGTCATATATGATTTGAACATCATCCAAATTGGTAGGAGTTGATTGCTTTAAATTGTTTGAAATTAGAAAAACTAGAGGAAGAAAACAAATTGAAGACAAATACTACACTAAATATGGACCTATTAGATCAACTGCACTACCCTTATTAGGTATGACTAATTAAGATGGTTAAAATCAGGAAAAGAACATGTTTAGAGTTAACTAACAAATAACATGTGAAAACACAATATATGAATATGAACATTAAAAGCCTTTAGCACCCTATCTGTCAATTTTATTTTATTTTTGCAAAAATAGAATCTTTATTTCAATAAGGAAATATATAAGACAATCACATGACATTCCTCTATAAGTACAACAACTCCTCAAATAAATAAAATCAATGAAAAAAGTGAAAGTCTAGAATGTATTCTTCTAGCAAATAAAACCCGGTGAACAACTTAAAATTTAGAAATGCATTCCTCCAACAAGAACTAATGGCCAAAAACACACACAACAACACAAATAAAAATTCTCCGAACTTTCCATTAATCTCTTAAAGAAATCTCTACCTCGAACAGACTCAAGAAAATGACAACAATCTTCATCCTTATAAGATTTAGTAAAGTAAGTACCTCGGAACTTACTTCTTGAGATAAATTTGAGATAGAAATGAAGATCAAGGGTTACTTTGAGCGAATATCAATCATATTGATGATGATGTTATAGAAACAAATACCTCCAACATTTTACATTAGATTGTATTGGTAATTAAGAAGAACATGAAACAATAACATTATATAATTCTCTGTCTCTAGTTTATTTTGTATATTAAGAATATACAAAGGCCTCCCACCAAATGATATTATAAACTTCACCATGTTCTTTTGATCAGGCAGCATATTGATAAAATGCAACAAGCTTTACTTCATTTAGCTTCTTTCATCATGAGGACTAGAGGTTCATATAGTCGAGTTAGCTTGCACATGTTAGAACATATTATTAATTGTGCTTTTAATATATCAGAAAGCTCCAAGCTTGTGGCACCATGAGAAAATAAAATAATGTCAATGTTTACACACTTGCAGAGAAGCAATTGACTAACTTAAACTGAAAAGGCGATAATGTAACCAGAATTGATTTCAAACAATTCTACAACTAATAATGTCGGCCTCTACAAGTCATCTATTTTATTTTAGGCTTATTTTAGCATGAAACATTAGATTATCCAATGTTGTTTCTAAATGCACTCTAAGAAATTCATTATTTCAACATATTATTGAGGCATATTTCAGCGCTTCTAAGAAATTCTTTATTTTATTATATTAATATGTTATTGAAGTTCCACATTACTTATTTCAACAAAAATTCATTGTACCACATCTAGCCTAGACTTTTAGTGTATAAACTGTTCAATCTCTCCTTGAACATAAAATTCTAATGATTATTAAATTTCTAATCTAATATTTTTTGTTTAGATAGAGATGTTGTTTTATTTAACTCATGGTTTGAGTATATTTCGAGTGAGAAAAATATAAAGAACCACTTTAGAATAACAATCGTAAAATTAAAAAAAAATTATATATCACACAAGTTCAAAAGATCCTAAATCGGAATACCAAAATCAACCAGAAATATTTTTTCAGCACTAGATTCAATCTTACACTAACATTATTTATTACCAAAAAAGAAACCCAGACAAAAGTATAAATAGAAAATTTGTATGAACACATTTTATTGGAAAGAAAACTATTGTAGAAAATAGAAAAAGAGAGATACCTTTTACAGGGAAAATGTATCGGTACACAGTAGTCATAACAATAAAACTTACCTACAATATATAAAACTAAAACAAATTAGTGTGCAATCAATGTAAATGCTTGAACCTCACTCCAAACACTTGCTTGAACCCTAACACCTATTTTTCAGAAAACTTTACTTCTAAAAGCCTTTTACTTTCGAAATATTTAAATTTTTAGAACCCCTATTTTTTAGAAAGTAGCAATCTTACTTCAAGCTAAATAAAATGGAAAGAGTTAAGAGTTAATATCACATTTTCATAACACCCAAACCACTGAAATCTCTATTTTCAGTGGCGTCTCAAGTAAAACGATCCTGACCAAACAGTCAAAGTTAGGGTTCATATTCCCCAACTAAAAAATAATGGTGTGTTGGGTTGACACTTGAAAATAGTGGTATGTCAAAGTTAATTTGATATCCAAATGCAGAAGTATGACCGTAATTCCTACTTGGGGTTCTTATTTTTCAGAGAGAAGAGTTGAAAGATACTCCTATTTATATTGGGTTTAAGCTAAATGAAATTAAAATGGAGATAAGAATTTGAGCGATTAACTTTCGAGATGGTGGAGACTTCAAAACGTTTGCTTAAGAGATTCGAACTGGAGACTTCATCGCCCGTTAATATTTAAATTTGTCACCCCTATTTTGTTACTAAATTCGTAGGAAAAATTAGGCGCCAAAATTTCCTGCTAATATTTAGCGACGAACTAAATATTTTTTTGCAACTCCATCGTTATATTATAAATCAAAAAATAATTTGTTAGTTTTTCAACAAAATGGTTGTTCTGTCACAAATCCGTCATTATATAGTGACGAAATATTGATCATCACTAATATCTATCTCTAACCGTTGGTTTTTAGTAGTGTAAGAGGCAATGAATATAATTTACCATTAAGGTTCTTCCTCCTCTTCTTTTCTTAGATAATAGTAGCTAAACACTTGTTCTGGTGCTGCAGCTACGAGTAATTTTTGAACATCGATTGTTTTGAATTAATATTGATTATCATTTAAATTACTTTTGAATTCTTGTTTTAGTATTTCATGCTTGATCACCATAGAAATAAATATGTTGTCTACGTACTCTTAAACTTGGGAGACAAAGAGGTAGAAATACCAAAGGATAAAAGAGATCGATATCTCTTACATATCATTTGTTCAAATTAGTGTTCTGGATTAACATCCGGATGAACACCGAGCTTGGTTACCAAACAGTATGAAATATAAATGCTCGTCTATTTAGTCTGTCTATGCCCGCTTAGCGATTTAATTAGACAGTCAATTGGAGTAGAAGATTGGAGGACGAGAGATCATGATCATAAAATAAACACTGCAAATCGCTAATTTATAACCGTATTTAATTCATTATATGAGATGTGATATAGGAAACCTTAAGTATGTTGTAGCCCTCAAATTTTCAAACCATTATATAAGTAATTTTATTGTTTTATTCTTGCATTATTAGTATTTAAATATAAATTAAATTCTTTTGGTATACCTGAATTTTAATAAATTAGACTAGTATAATTTAGTAAATAAGTTTATCAACAAATTTTTGGGTTTGAAATTCATTCTTTTAGAGCCAATATATTAATTGCGTGAGCAAGCACACTTGTGTGCGCAATTGGGAGCAACAAATTTTTGAGTCTCAAAAAACTTGAAACAAATATGTTAAAAGGTAAAAATTATGAAAAAAGATAAAGTAATATTTAGAAATTATATCAAAGTAAATATTTTTACATATAAAATAGAAAAAATGTATAGATTCCCTGATTTTATCTAGAAAAATCATTTACACGCTTAAACTATTATGACGGCTTATTACATACCTTTCCTATTTAAAAGTGAATTTGGTTACCCCAAGGATGTTTAAAACCACTCTCACAATATGTGGTGTATTACACTCACTACGCTACCACAACACTGACATGTTAGCGCCAAGTAAGAAATTAACAAAAAATTATAATCCTTTTTATTTTAAATTAACTTGTTTTTGTTAACTATATCCTACACTAATTAATCTCTAATTAATTAGCAAAAATCTCTAATAATTATATTTTCTTCATAGTAAAATTACATGCCAGGAACACTAATCAAAATCTGGAGCTGATTCATGGACTAGGAAATTCTCCCGTTCACTCAAAAAAAATCCACCATAATTGTGGCGGCTAAAAGATACCCAAAATTCTATCCCGCCGATGATATTAAGAAACCCTTTATTAACAAACACAAATTCAAAGCCACAAAATATAAATTGATGATTAAGTAATATGCTAAGCAAGTTGAAAAGAAGTTGAAGAAGGAAGAAGGAAAGATTTTTGCCTAATAGAAAGAGGAGAAAAATGTGCTTCCTCAAGAGGGTGGGGGTAAGAAGAAGAGGGTGGATTGTGAAGAAGAAGAATGTGGAGGGTGGGTAGGGTTTAATTGAATTTTGATTTGTTTTTTTCTACTGTAATAAATCTAACGTGCCTATTTTTTATTTTTTAAAAATTATTTTGCAACAAAAATTTTAGGGGGTATATAAATTTACTTTTAAGCAGTAAAGGTGTATACTATGACGTAATCATAGTTTAAGCGTGTAACTAACTTTTTGGAACAAGTTCAGGAGAGAATCTATATGTTATGAACCATAGTGATATTATGGAGGACAATACGGCTAAATCGAAAGATAATTTTATTCATCGTAGAAGGACTAACCGTGTGAAAATACCATCTAAAAGATTTGTTGACTTTGTCTAACAGAACGTGGGGGCAAAGTGCACGCTATATATGCAGCAAGTGGAGTAGGAAGTATCCAATATAAATCTATTATCTCTAGGCGTAGTTAGGTTAGGCTATTATTTTCGCGTTGTATCTCTGTTTCTAATCTCAATTTTCTTCTATAATTCTCTTCTAGTCTCTTCTTTGTTTCTTCTTATTTCCTTGCAGTTTTAATGTAATCAGTTGTTATTGCAATCCTGTTCAGTTATTAAGGTAGTGATCATTGGTCGTTCCCAAGATGGGAAAACGTTATTTTGGATCATTTTAAGTCCTTAAATGTAATATATCGTAACTTGAGTTAACTAAGTTAAGCAAAGAAACCAAGAATAATTATTTTTGGGAATAAGTAGGGAAATCTGGAAAATTTCATACTTGTAAAAAAAAGAAGAAGTTTCGATCATTTTCAAACGATCATAACTTCTAACTGGGGAGGAGTTTGGATGAGTTATTTACATGGTTGGAAAGCCATTGGAAATATCTTTCCAAGTCCGTCAAGTTTGCGATAAATCGATGTCGTATGATGGAGATATGCCTTTTGGAAGTTGGATTATTGAGTTGAGGAAAATCCAATCTGGATTTTAGCAAGGGTAAATTTGTGTTTTCACCATAGTATTTCCTAATTTGTTTTAAGGTTAAATTAGGGGTAAACAAAGTCAGAAATCAATTTTAGAAAAACTAAGAACGCTTAGAGCTTCGGAGAAAAAAGAAAAGAAGAGAAATATCAATAATTGTCTAAGAACGCCAAGTCGTTGCGTAGATTTCGTCTGGGGAGATCTCTATCGATATATGTGAGATCATTCGATGTTAGGTATTTTCCCCCACACCCAATTTGTTTCAATCCAGCAAGTTAGAGTATATGGAAGGTTGAATATCGGAGTTCTTGATGAAAATTCGTTAAATTCTTGTTGGTTGAATTGTAGTTTATCTTTAGTAGATTTGATTCATGTTTCCAGACAGTTTTTGGGTCTAATCTATTGGGTAAAGGTGTATTTAGTGATCCTAAGTGTTTGGGGTGGGATTCATGGAAGTTTGGGAGGTTTAGAATTGAAAATCGGAGAAGAAAAGTAAAAAAAAACGTCTGATAGGCCCTGGGACATCGCGCCTACCATAGCCCCTCAGGATATACTCTGTCAGGCTCTGGCGCGCCATGCCAGCCAGATCGCCCGAGGACAACCTCCATCCGTCAGGCTCTGGCTTTCCATGCCTCTCAGTGAGCAAAGCCCCTTGGAGACCCCGTTCTTTCTATCTTTTTGTACTAGTTTCTAAGTGATGTACCTATCATTCTTAGTTGATTCCAACACTCTAGGGTACATCTAGACATCATAAAATCATTTATAAATATGAGGTTATGATTCTTGAATCCATAATTCAATTCAAGGAAATTTAAGATCAAAGTCAAAAATGTCAGGAGTCATGTTTAAAAGTTAAGAAGCAAGTCAAAGTAAGCTCTTAAAGTTTTCAAGGAGTCTTAAAGAATCATTTTAATTTTGGCTAATGTGTCAAGTTAATTCAAGTTGAACTAAGAGTTAAGTTCAAGTAAAGTAAAGAGTAAGAACTAAGTTCATTTCTCAAAGAGTATAGATGGGACTAAGTATTCCCCTAAAGGTTTATAAATGTTTTTATATTTAAGTTAAGAGAAACCTAAGATTTCCAAAAAGTTTTTGAACTAAAAGGGGAACATTGATTCCAATGGAAGCCTTTTATAGCTAAAAGGTTCATAAATTATCTCAACCCAAATGAAGAAAGTTCTATTAAAAGTATGAGCTAAAGTATATTTTATGAGTAGTATTGAACACCGATGTGGAGATGAAAGTTCATTTAACTCAAGTCTCCATATCAACCATGAAGCCATCATGAAACTTGACAGGTCATACTTCTTAGATGATCCCGTAATTTGAGCTAGTGGACCCACTAAGTTAAGAAAGGTCCTATACTAATGGAAAGGTATAGGATGGTCTTTGGGCAGCGTGAGGCAAAACATTGTATCATCATTTAGGCTTAAAGTGATGGTTGTCGGTTAGAGAATCTCCCACAAAAGTTATATTACTTTAATATATAATTAAAGTTGAGTTTGTTATTGCATTTCTTTAACAAACTAAGTTATTTTAATGTTTTACAAGCTTTATATATTGCATGTGTTTTAAATTGCTTTATACATACTTTGAGTTAAGTATATTCTTGAGTTGAGTAGAGCCAAGATAATTTCATCTTATTCCCCTCAAGCTTAAGCCGTTCTTTAGCATTCCAACTAGCATACTCGTACATTCAATGTACTGATGCTAGTTGGGCTGCATCATTTTATGATGTAGACACAGGTAACGAGGATCAACAGTTGAGCATTCCACAGTCACTTGGTGAGCCTCCTTGCATCCCAGAGGACATCCCTTTATTTGCTTTTCAATCTTAGTTCATTAAGATGTTGTGGGGTTTGTCCCAACATCCATCTCAGTTATAGACAATGTAGTAGTTCAGTTTTGGAGTATCATTTATCTTATACTTCGTATGTTACAGTATTGATACTTAAGTGCCAATTTGGCCAACACAAGTTGTTTAGTCATCTTATAGAATGCCTTTAATTCCTTATCTGAGTTTAGCATAATCTTTCGATCAGTTAAGTAAGTCATGCCACGGGTTCGCTCAAGGCCAACAATAGTTGTTGGGTGCAGGTCACATCTAAGTTGTAGGCTCTGGGCGTGATATTAAGCGCATCGGTCAACTGGCGTACAAGCTGTATTTGCCAGCCACAACCCGCATTCACCTTGTTTTTCATGTTTCAATATTAAAGAGATGCTTGGAGAGGCAGAGCAAAAAAATTACTACATTAAGTTTAACTGATTTCGTTGAACATGGGGTTGAGCCTTCCCAGAACCTTGAGGACAAGGTTCTTTCGCTGGATGGAAGTATTGTTATGAACCATAGTGATGACGTGGTGACAACATGGCTAAATCGGAAGATAATTTTATTCAGCCTAAAAGGATTAATCGTGTGAACATACCATTTAAAAGATTTGTTGGCTTTTTCTAATAGAATGTGGGGGAAAAGTGCATCCTAAATATGCGGCAAGTGGAGTAGGAAGTATCCGATATAAATATATTACCTTTAGATGCAGTTAGGTTAGGATATTGTTGTTGTGTCGCATCTCTGTTTCTCATCTCTATTTTATTTTGTATTTTTTTCTCATCTCTTCTTTGTTTCTTCTTATTTCCTTTCAATTGAATCAGTAGTTGTTGTAATCTGGTTTAGTAACTAATATGGTGATCAGTTGGTCGTTTCTAAGTTGGCAGGTGTTATTCTAGACCATTTCAAGTTCTTAAGTGCATTGGTCAAGTGAGTACAAGCTGGATTTGTCAGCCACAACTCGTATTCACCCTGTTTTTCATGTTTCAATATTAAAGAGATCCGTTGGAGAGGTAGAGAAACAAATCACTTGTCACAACCCAAATCAATTCGTGAGTTGTACCCCCACTTAACTTCCTAGGTGGGCGAACCAATGAATTCAACCCCAACTTATATTTATCATTCAACTTACAAAATACTAATCATAATTCGGAAGTTTATATCTTGTTAGTGTAAGAAACACAAATCCATTGTAGTCTATTACACGTTATTCCCAAAACCTGAAAATCATCACATCAATGACAACTAATCTTCAAATACTAAGTCTAAGAGTATAAAAGACACCAAAATAAATGAAATGAAGTAATATGTGTCCGATAATTAAGGACAACATGTCATGACCGAGAGAATTCAACACAAACTCGAACGAATAGCTTACCCTTGCATTTGATATCTAAGACTGGCTAGAGTTGAGGGAGAGTCAAAGTCGTTGGTACACTCGCTACACTCCATAAAAATAAAATAAAGAAAATTACAAGTAGGGATCCAGACAAGGCAATATGTACTGAGCAGGTATCATCGGTCAACCCAAAATAAATACTAATATATAATGAATAATAGTATAAAATCATCTATGACACTTAGCAGGTGGAACACAACAAAAAACATAAACCAATAACAACAACACTAAAGTAAGTACGCAATCAATCACAATATCAAGCATACATATGAGGACTCATGCCTCCACACCACGATCATTTGGGAAATGGGTTCTTTGATATTGAGTAAATTAAGTTAATACAATATATTTTTCTTTAATGTTACCATGTTGGAACGTGACATCTGATCCAATTATACCATGTTGGAACGTGAGACTCATATCCAATAATATCATGTCGGAACGTGATACTCTAATCCAATTATACTGTGTCGAAACGTAACACTCCGATCCAATTATACCATGTCGAGACGTGACACTCCGATTCAATAATACTGTGTCAGAACGTGAAACTCTTATTCAATTATATCGTGTTGGAACGTGACACTCCGATCAAATAATGTCATAAATTTATTATTTATTATCACAACTTTTCAATTTATTAACAATATTTCATCAAACCTTCTTTATTCAAGGTGTCACTTCTATAGAGAGGGTTCAAGATTATAAATTTCACGGTCTCCAAATTTCAGACCAATCACAAACCATAGAACCAAGCTACACAATCACACAATCAAGTACATAGAGGACTTAACAATATTATTCAATGCATATCAATCACTATTAAGAGTCTATCTATCAAATAGAATAAATCATAACCTACCTCCATCAAAGAACCGAAGTCGAGCAAGCTACTTCTCCAGTACTTTTTCTTTCCTCAATGCCTCCAAACATTTCTAATCTATCAAGTATATGTACATATATTTGTAAATTAACGAGTCTATAAAAACCTATATCATTCAATGTCTAACCTTTGACCCCAAAAATATCACCTAATTCAATAATCAATTTCCTAAAGTTCAAACATAAGCAAAAGTCTAAATTCCTCCAATTAGCATAACTTTTAATGAAATTTAAGTAATTCAACACACCTGTATTAAATTTTCTATCTCAAGATATCAAAATATAGTTTATAATGTGAGAACAAAATATTACTACGTCAAGACAGGAATCCACTAATCACGAACCCACTGACATACGGACGAAGAACAACCCAACTACACTTTAACCATAACCTGCATATATAAAATATGCAGAAATTTAACACATTATCCTTTTTACCATTAACCAATCATCACTCACAATTGTCAAATTATTAACTTCATCATTTTTATTCAAAAGCTCAACCAATCAGTGACTCATATACTTACGTGTTGCCTTCACACATTTTCACTAAATAATTTTCTTACTTCACTAACAACTATCCATACAATTAATGTACTAAAAGAATTGGAGTAAAATAATTTTCACCTTCCAATCTTCCTTTACGACCATGTGATTGCCCTTTGTTTTTTTTTTTCTGTTCTGCATATTATTCGTTACCTTAATTATCTTATATGTCTAATTATAAAAGCGATAAAAATGGTCCACTATTAATTTTAATATTATCTTATTTAATTATCAACTAAGTTAATTATTAAAACTATCCCATTAATTCTATAATTATAGTTACAAATAGTCCAACATACCCATTTAGAACCTATCGAAAGAGTCTTTTATGAAATAAAAAGTTTTAGTACTCAAAACGTCCAAATGAATCGTTACATTACTTCATAAGTTTAGATGATTTTGTTGTGCATGGGGTTTAGCCTTCCCAGAACCTTGAGGACAATGTTCTTTCGCATGAGGAAAGTATTGTTATGAATCATAGTGATTACGTGGAGGATAACAGGGCTAAATGGAAAAATAATTTTATTCCTTCTGCGTTCGGTTCAGAGAGCACTTTTTTCGTTGAGAATTCCTCGTTCCCTTTCGTGTGTAACCGTCTGAAAATACCATTTAAAAGATGTATTGACTTTGTCTAACAGAACGTGAAGGCAAAGTGCACGCTAAATATGTGACAAGTGGAGTAGGAAGTATCTAATATGAACCTATTATCTCTAAGCGTAGTTAGGTTAGGCTATTGTTGTTGCGTCGTATCTCTATTTTCTTCTGTAATTCACTTCTCGTCTCTTCTCTGTCTCTTCTTATTTCCTTGCATTGTAATCTAGTTTAGTAACTAATATAGTGATCAATTGGTCGTTATTGCGTTTGTTTTACTATACCTTTTCCCATATGAAATAAGTTTTAAATAGTGATCAGTTGGTCGTTATATATATACGTTTGTTTTACTATACCGTTTCTCATATAAAATAAGTTTTAAATAGTGATCAGTTGGTCGTTATATTTGAGTTTGATTTGATCTCGAGTTGACTTTTTAATTAAGATCAAACCAATTCAAGTATACTCGAATTTTTTTCATATCAAAATCAAATCATTAATTAAACTTTTTTATTTAACTCAATTTGTTGTTTGATTCGATTTTCAATAATCACCGATCAAATATTTATTTGCTTGGGAATTTAACTACACTTATATAGGTACAACACTTATATAAAATTTGAACTTTATAGTATTTTTAAAAAATAAAATTAATTTTTTTGGGGGTTGGGGTGGATGGGGAGAGGGGGGGGGGGTAAGAGTTTAAAATAAAAATTTGAAGTTGAAAATATTCTTATAAAGCAAGATTATTTTTTGGGGGAAGGGGGACTGGCCGGTGGTGGGTGGGTGGAAGTCATGGATCGAGTAAAAAAAATAAAATTTTAAAATTGATTTTTTTTAAAAAAAATTGTTGTTTTTTTCAAAAAAAAAATATAATTTAAAATTGGAGGAAAGTTTTAGAAAATTTTTTTGAAGAAAAATCATTTTTTTTTTAATTTTGAGGAAAATGAGTTGATTTGAAAAAAAACATTTTTCAAAACTTTTGTCCCAACCAAACATGAGAAAATTGGAAAAATATTTTCCAGAAAATGTTTTACTTCATACCAAACACACTCAAAATCTTTTATTTTTTATTTATTCTTAAAAATTAATAGTAGATGAACTTTTTTTATATAAAGTGAAGAATAAAATCCTATTGATAAAATAAAAAATTACATAGCCAATCAATTCTCCATGTTTTTTTAGTTTTTTAAGGTATTGATTTTATTTTTAAATTGTTCAAAAATGAAAAGCCGCCGGTCTTCTTGCTGATTTTCTTGACTGGATTTTATGAAAGTTTGACTAATCAAATCATAAAATTATGTCTTTTTTTGGTATGAGTCAATTCTTAAGAGAACCAAAATGATTTTGTACTTACTAAATTAGTGGGAATTTTTTGGGTTTTTTACATAATAATAAACATGTTAATTCAGGTGAAATAAATTTAAAATGTTTTTTTCTTATTTTAATTTGTATGAGTCAATTCTTGAGAGAACCAAAATGATTTTGTACTTACTAAATTAGTGGGAATTTTTTGGGTTTTTTACATAATAATAAACATGTTAATTCAGGTGAAATAAATTTAAAATGTTTTTTTCTTATTTTAATTTGTATGTTTACTTTAATTTGATATAAAAATTGAAGAGAAGTATTGATTATATTTCTAAATTTAGTGTGAATTATCAGTTTTATTTTTTAAATTGTCTTTTAAAAAATTATTTGATTAACTCAATGTTTATGTATGAGTAAAATATAATCCTAAATTCTTGCAAAATTTAGAGGTGTTGGA